GAACTGGATTTGAAAGTGAACTGGTAACCAGTGCAGTGAGGCCAAAGCTGGTGTAATGTGCTCTCTTATGCCTGTACTGGCTATAAATCGGGCTGCTGCATTCTGGACCAGTTGTAGTCGTGCTATAGAGGTCTGACTGATACCAAACAGGAGCGAATTGCAGTAATCAAGCCTAGATGTAATGAATGCATGTATTACTGTCTCCAGGTTATTTTTGGATAATATGGGCTTCAGTTTAGACAGCCGCCTCAGTTGGAAGAAACATGATTTAACAATCATCCATCCATCCATTATCTTTACCCGCTTATTCCATTTTGGGTCACGGGGGTCGCTGGTGCCCATGTCCAGCAATCACTGTGCGAGGGGTGGGGTACACCCTGGGCGGGTCGCAAGTCCATCACAGGGACACATAAAGAAAAACGAGACAAACAACCATTCACTCTCTCACTCACACCAAGGGACAATTTAAAGTTACCAATCAGTCTAACATGCATGTTTTTGGACTGTGGGAAGAAAACGGAGCGCCCGGAGAAAACCCACGCATGCAAGGAGAGAACATGCAAACTCCACCCAGAATGGCCCCTGGACCGGGGTTTGAACCAAGGACCTGCTCGCTGAGAGGCAGCAGCTCTACCAGTTGCGCCACCGTGCTGCCATTTAACAATCATATTTACATGACTGTTAAGTTTCAGGGAAGGTCCATTATCACGCCCAGATTAGTGACTCTTTGTTTTTCTGACCGGGTTAGAGTGGAGAGGTCAATGCAGTGGTTTGTGATTGTGTCATTGAGAGGGAACAAAATGACTTCAGACTTCTTTTCATTGAAACTTAAGAAGTTTAAAGTCATCCAGTCCCTGATGTCAGCCAGGCAGTCGAGTAGCATTTGAATAGAGCATGTACCATTGTGTCTTAGGGGGAAGTAAATTTGACAGTCATTGGCATAGAAGTGGAAGGGCATGTTGTGTTTCTGGAAAATAGCACCAAGCGGCAGCAGGTATAAAGAGAATAGGAGGGGACCCAGGAAAGACCCCTGTGGAACCCCGCATTTAAGCTCTGCCTCTGCGGAACTAAAACCCTTGATGGAGACACAAAAGGATCTGTCAGCGAGGTAAGATCTGAACCAATTGAGGGCTGACCCTGTGACGCCCACCCACTGCTCTAACCTAGCAATGAGGATCTCAAGGTCGATGGTGTCAAAGGTGGGTGCGAGGTCCAACAGGACAAGCAGCACAGAATCACCGGTCCTTGGCTGAGTGACATCACCAAGGACGTTAGGCAGCAATGTAGGAGGGTGGAGCAAAAGTGGAGGAAAGACAGGCTGCAGGTCTCTTTTCAAATACTTAAAGAGAGTTGGCGCCATTATCAGAAAGCAGTGAAAGCTGTTAAATCCAAATACTTCTCTGATATAATTACCTCAAACTGTCACAACCCACGTGTCCTCTTCTCCACCCTAAACTCTGTTCTCCACCTCACTGAACCATCACCTCTGGAAGCCTCGACTGAGCTGTGTGACAACTTCTTACATTTCTTTTTGGAAAAAATTGCGACTACCCGGGCACTCATTTCCCCTCCAACTCATGACCCATCCATCCCACCTCAATCTATAGCTCTATTTGACCATTTTGAACCCATCACTCGACCTGCTCTAGAGAAGATAATGTCCAGCTTGAAAACTTCTGGTTCCCCCTTTGATGTGGTCCCCCCTCGACTACTAAAGGAGGTTTTTCCTGCTTTAGGTCCGTCCATTCTGTCTATAGTAAACAGTAGTTTATCCACTGGCTTGGTGCCAAAAACCTTTAAACATGCTGCTGTCCAGCCTCTCCTGAAAAAAAAAAAAACCTTGACCCCTCAGTGTATTCAACTTCCGGCCTGTCTCCAGACTCCCATTTGTTTCTAAAGTACTGGAGAAAATAGTTGAGTCCCAGTTGAAGTGCTTCCTGGAGGATCACGCCATCTTAGAGCTTTTCCAATCTGGCTTTAAACCTCTCCACAGCACTGAAACTGCCCTGCTGAAGGTCTTTAACGACATCTACAGATTCACAGATACCGGTGATTCTGTGCTGCTTGTCCTGTTGGACCTCACAGCCGCCTTTGACACCATCGACCATGAGATCCTCATTGCTAGGTTGGAGCAGTGGGTGGGCGTCACAGGATCAGCCCTCAATTGGTTCCGATCTTACCTCACTGACAGATCCTTTTGTGTCTCCATCAAGGATTTTAGTTCCGCAGAGGCAGAGCTTAAATGGGGGGTTCCGCAGGGGTCCATCCTGGGTCCCCTCCTATTCACTTTATACCTGCTGCCGCTTGGTGCTATTTTCCAGAAACACAACATGCCCTTCCACTTCTATGCCGATGACTGTCAAATTTACTTCCCCTTGAGACTCAATGGCACATGCTCTATTCAACCTCTGCTCAACTGCCTGGCTGACATCGGGGACTGGATGGCTTTAAATTTCTTAAGTTTCAATGAAAAGAACTCTGAAGTCATGTTGTTCCCTCCCAACGACACGATCACAAACCACTTCATCGACCTTTTCACTCTATCCCTGTCAGAAAAACAAAGAGTCACTAATCTAGGAGTGATAATGGACCCTTCCCTGAAACTTAACAGTCATGTAAACATGATTGTTAAATCATGTTTCTTCCAACTGAGGCAGCTGTCTAAACTGAAGCCCATATTGTTCAAAAAGAGCCTGGAGACAGTAATACATGCATTCATTACATCTAGGCTTGATTACTGCAATTCGCTCCTGTTTGGTATCAGTCAGACCTCCATAGCACGACTACAACTGGTCCAGAATGCAGCAGCCTGATTTTTAACCAGTACAGGCAAAAGAGACCACAATACTCCAGTTTTGGCCTCACTGCACTGGTTACGGTTCACTTTCGAATCCAGTGTCATGAACCAGAGGCCGGATCGCAAACAACAACAACAACCACTGA